TACACCTCAAATTATGATTAGAAGGACAAACAAGCTGACGGTCCACCTGATGGAATACCGGATAGAAAGCGGTAACCGTCGCCTATAGACATGAGCAATACCATGGACATAACAGAGTATACTGTTTTGCCCATTATACCCTCCATGCGTTGCCATTTCTGAGGACTTAGGTGTTATTCCTCTCTAGCCTGTAAATTCACTGCCTTATTCCACCCTTCAAACCGAAACACAGTTATGCAAACACGACCGCTTCACAGTTGAAACACGAATGGGACAGAGGTGCCCAAGCAAACGACTTTTGTATAAAGTCTCCCTCTGGTAGATAAGTTAGATAGATAGATAAAATTTTAATAGCCTCTTCAGTACACACGTAAAAGACTAGAGGAAGACTGTACACGAGTCATTTGCTTAAGTACCTCTGTCCCATTCGTGTTTCTACCGTGAAGCAGTTGTGTTTGCATGGCTGTGTTTCGGTTTGAAAGTTGTGACATGACAGTGGATTTACAGGGTACAGAGGTATAACACCTGAGTCCTCAGGAATGGCAACGCATGGGGGGTATCATGAGTAATGTACAGTATACTCTGTTATGTCCATAATACTGTTCATATCTATAGGCGGCGGTTATTACTTTCCTTCAGGTGGGCCGTCAGCTTGTTTTCCTTCCTGAGTATTATAAAAAAATCGAAAGAGCTTCCTCCTGTATTAATTACAGTGTTAAAAAATCGATAGAGACTACTCTCGTGTTCATTACAGTATTAAAAAATCGAGAGAGCTCACTCCCATGTTGATTACAGTACAGTACTTTTGTCGGAACTGAGCTTTCTTTTTCTGGAACAAAATCTCAAATTTTAAAACTATACTGCGCCTAATTTAAAGTCAATTTAATTATCTTTATTACCGTCTAATTTAACTAATTACTACTCGTAGTTAATTAGGTTACTAAATAAAGTTTATGTAATATTGCTGATATGGCAAACTAAACCAAAATTAACTAAATATTAGCTACAAATTGATATTATTAGAAAATCAGAGCAAATCACGTCTATTAACATTAGTTACAAATTTAACCCAAATCGAATAACGTGAATAATCGAAAATTACGTTTTTGATGTTAAACATAATTATTTTCACGCGATAACGAATCCATTACGTTACTTACAGACTTGTTCGAAATTTCGATGACATTCGTGAGGGTAAATAAAATATTTAGCCTCATATTCAGATATGAATAATCACAACTACACAATTTTACTACGATATTTTTTATCTGCAACATTATTTAGAAGTATTTCTAGAGAAACTACTAGAAGGTACATCAATTTATAGAATACTGCGAATCACAGAAGATATAACTTTAACTTTATAAATTATTGATAATATAATAATATTAAGGCTTTCCAAGAGATTTATAAAAAAACAAATTATCAAAGATAAGCATTGCAATTAATTCAAACGTTTTAATGTAAGCTAAGCTAGCTAAAGTGGCAATGGACTGGTCACATAGCTTGAAGAACCGACAACGGATGGGGAAGAAAATTTCTTGAGTGGCGACCCTCTACAGGTAAACGCAGTGTAAGATGATCCTCTACTAAATGAAGTGACAACCTCAAATGCATTGCAGGGACCGTTCCTTATGGCAGTCTATGAGGGAGGTCTATGCTCAACAGTAGACGGATAAGGCCAGATAAGATGATGATGAAGATGTTATCTTTTGCACAATTGGGGATAATATTCAAGTAGCAGTTGTAGAAAAAGCCTACGTATATTACATTGAAACACAGCCATACGTACAAATGTATGACTGTGCTTCAATAGGTAGGGCATGGCAAAAAAATTTACAGGATACGAAAATATAACATCTTACTTCTTAACCCTTAAAAATAGTAATGGACTGTGACGTCTATGACACTGATCGTATATGTCTAGAGACAACAGTTAGCACTTTCCATCGTTTGAGCTGTAATTTATCATTCTAAATTAAATAAAAGAAAACTGTAAGTCAAATCAAAAATTCTTAAATGAGTATAATATTTTAAACTATATATATATATATATATATATATATATATATATATATATATATATATATATATTATATATATAAAAATATATAATATTTTAAACTAGAATGTTATCTTACATTGTATTGCGTCATAAACCATTCCGTAAACCTTTTACAAATACTTTGTAATAATTATAATAAGTAAACTCAACTTTTGATAAACATTTGAACTTGCAAAACCTTGAGTAGGTACATGCAGTCACGGTATGACATGGGAGGCCATTACAAAACTGACACTTCCTGCATGCTTATGAGTTCCGATGTACATATATACATACATACATACCTCTTCCTGTTTTGTAAGTGTTTTTTTTTTTTGTTTTCATTTAATTAATTTGTATTTAAAAATTTTATATGATATTTAGAATCCTATTCTTTATGAGGCATGAGATTATTTTAGTCACATCATTAATCTCAAATATTTATTTATTTTACACTTTATTGCACCATTTATAAAATAGTAAACACATTTAACTGTAATAAGAAATGATACATAGACAGATAGATAGATAGATAGATAGATAGATAGATAGATAGATACTCTTTATGGTTTCCTCTAAAAGATTACAATAGTAAACTTATTATAAATATAAACATAAGGCGGACTTATCGCTAAACAATCTCTTCCAGACAACCTTTGGGTAGAGAATATTGAGAAAAGAAAGTAAAACAAAGAAACAAACAAATATATGAATGCTTTAAAACATACGAACCAAAATTTCGTTCAAGGAAGATGCACAAGATTGGGCAAAGTGTAAGAGAAATAACAGGGGAACTGACCTTGGCTATAGCTGGAATTAAAGCTAGAACGAAGAACAAGAAGACTTAGAATGGCAAACAAGCTGATGGCTCACTTGAATTATGTCGTGACATATATCGGAATATACTATTTCGTTTGACATACGATTTAATATAATATTTTTAATAATGATGTCAAATATAATGTAACTACAATTAATGTAAATAAAATTTAATATTCAATAATGTATTGTAAATTTTATAATTCAGTACTTGGGTGCTTTATTGCAGAAAGGCTGTTTAATTTATTTCAAATTATTTTATTTTATTCCATGGTAATATTTCAAACGAATACCAAGTCATGCACTACGAGATAAAATACATTTAATGTTTATTTATTTATTTCATAATTTTTTGAGTACAATGGAACACTTAAAATAATACCATAGATATTACAAAGTTGTGGAAAACTGGTGCCTGAACTGAGTATCCCAAGAACCCGTATCATACTCGTAAGTCACCAGAACCCCTTCCTGGCATAAAATTATAATTTATTTCATGATATGACTTGAAAATAAAATCAATTAATTGTTAATGACATATTGTCAAATATTAAATAAATATTATTTATACTTATTGCATTATAAATGTAGCCAATATTTTTTTTAAAAAGGTAGCAATTACAGTCTTAAAAATAATCAAATCCTTTCGATTCTCCATTTTTTTATACAACTTAGAATGGCAAACAAGCTGACGGCGCACCTGATGGAAAGTGGTAACCGTCGCCTATAGACATAAGCATTACTATGGACATAACAGAGTATACTGTTTCGCCCATGATACCCCCCATGCGTTGCCATTCCTAAGGACTCAGGTGTTATTCCTCTGTACCCAGTAAATTCACGCATTCCATGAACAAACAAATATTCTCTCCAGCTTCATTAGAAAAGATTCCTTCTAGTAATAAGTTCATCATTGCACTTGTTTAATTATATTGACAATTTCTTCATCAAAATTTCAAATAAAATATAATCCTTCCAATATTTAACTAATAAGTGTGTTTTTTTATACCAAAATAGATGGCAAACAAGTATACTGGCCGTCTAATGGTAAAATGCGTCTAAACGACTGAATGAATTAAAATTTGATATATGAATAGGTTATAACCTAACCTGACACATAAAATATACCATATCGATACACGTAAACAACTAGTTTTCATATAAAGATTATTCACAGTCGAATAAAAAAAACTGTAATTACCGTTTTCTACATGTTATTTCTGACATTTAATTAATAGTTTATCCCCGCAAACAGGGGAATCTCTGTTATTCATTGAACAACTTGCCCTAAAAGCTATTTGTAACACATGTTTTATCGCTGAATCTCTCCATACCGATTAATCTACTAAACTAGTTAAATTTTATGTAAAAGGAACTTTGTAACATTTTGTCCCATAATCCATAAAAAGAACCTAATTCTCTTATGGATAAAATTCAAATATGCATGTCTGACGAGGTTCTTACGACAATTATTTATTTATTTAAATGCTCCGCTAATATTTGAATAAAGCTCTTAAAGTTGCAAAGCTTCAAAATAAAAAATGGAACGAAAAAAATATAAGTTCAATGACACACATATATTTTACAATGTCGTCGTAGGGTTAAACCTGTTTAATAAATCTAGTATGGATATTATAAATCTATGTAATATTTATCGTAATTGAATTCTGAAAGGCCCATCGTCTGGACAAGCCCACTATAGGTCTATCATAAACTATTTTTATTATCCTACGACATACAACGTAACAGTTTTATCTGGCAACCTTATGTTATGCAACCCTTTTGGAAGAGACGAATGAATTACGAAAGAGATTTATCGAGCAAGAATGAATGGAGATGTCGGTAGGAGCCGCCCTAGATGGACGTATGCCGACCAAATAGGCAACGTGCTGAAGAAGGGCTAAATTAAAAGTACCCGTAACCGGCGAGCATGTATGAAAAGATTGATGAATGTGGAAGAAGCGAGGAGATTTGTTTGAATCGAAGCATTTGGTATTCCATTGTTTCTATCAACCCTAATGGGAGACAGGCGTGACAGATTTGTATGTGTGTACTCTTTTGCTATGCAACTCAACGAGTATCCAAGTTGTACTAAATATTAGCTTTGTAAAATTTAAATGCCCTTCTTTTGTTGCAGGTTCCTCGCAATCTGGTGGCCGCTGAAATGCCAGATTACCAAGCGCCGAGCCAGAATGATGATCGTCTTCATCTGGATCTTCGCCATCGTCGTCACCACACCGTGGGTATTCTTCTTCGATCTTGTGGTCGTATTCGAGGACAACCCCAACGTACGCCTCTGTCTTGACGTCTGGCCCAACCCGCTCAGCGAAATCCTCTACTTCGTTATAGGCAATCTAATCTTCTGTTACATTCTCCCCATGGTCCTTATTTCCATGTGCTACATTCTAATCTGGATCAAAGTTTGGAGACGCTCCATCCCCACCGACACACAGGATGCCCAAATGGAGAGGATGCAACAGAAATCGAAAGTGAAGGTCGTCAAAATGCTTGTCGCTGTAGTCATCCTGTTTGTTCTGTCATGGTTCCCCTTGTACCTTATATTCGCAAGGATAAAATTGGGAGGACCCATTCAAAAATGGGAGGAAGACATCTTCCCAGTTGTGACACCTCTTGCGCAATGGCTCGGATCCTCTAACTCCTGCATTAATCCTATCTTATACGCGTTCTTCAACAAGAAATACAGGAAAGGCTTTGTGGCAATAATCAAGAGCAGAAAATGCTGCGGTAGACTCCGTTACTATGAGACAATCGCATTGCAATCATCGAGCACGTCAACAAGAAAGTCATGGCATTACAACAATAACAATCATGCCTCGATCACGCGCAGATCTCCACCGATGGACAAGAATGCGGTCTCCTTCATCTTCAACCACACAGGAGTGTAAAGCTAAGCAGCGTTGGGTTTAGGATCTGGTTTTCGGTCGAGCTCTCGACTCCGCGTCTGTCACAGCTGCCCTGTGCGGTACGCAGATGCATCTCACCATATCGACAAATACGATGTTTTTTATGCATATAAGATTTTGAGTTCGACAGTTTGATGTTGTCTCGTGCAAGAACCAAATTTTTGAACTTCGTGACTATCCAATAATGTAGTATTTTATTAAGTGAACATAATCAATGGATGTTTTTACAGTAGTAACGTACTTGTAACTTTTATACGTAAGTCGGTTAAAGTGTTGTATGGAGACTTTATTTTTACACTAAACGTAACTCGTGTACGGAATAGCGAAGCGAAACGCACATTAAGCACAAACGTTTTATAACAAAAAAAAAATTATAATAATTACAATAATTTCGAATTGATTTATTCAAAATTTTAATTCACTAACTTTTAATTTTTAATGTAATAACGTTTAAAAATATAATAATAATTATATTTAAATAAATTCAATGGTGGAACTTCATGCAGTTATAAAGTGAAATAAATACAGTACAAACAACTATTTTGTAGGTCGTAAGCTTTTTAAATATTAATAATAATTAATAAAAAGATATTTTTCATTGGGAGATATTAAAAACACTTCTTTTTATACTAAGTAACAAGTAAGCACTTCATTAAAGTCTAATAACATTCGAGTTAACAATATAAGGTTTAGAGTACTTGGTATGAAATATTATATATTTTTTTCATAGTGTGCTTACAATAGTTATGAATATATTTATGTATAACTTATATATAAATGGTTTTATATTAACGAAAAAATAAATAAAAATAACAGCTGAAAAATATGAAACATTCGTAAATATAAATAAAATATAAAAGTAATTAAATTATCCCAAATGCAAATTAATAAAAAAAATATATGTTATTCTCGACATATTCTGTTAGCGTACGATTTGTCAAAATATAATAATAGTTAAGTAAAACTGGTTAAGTAAAATTTAGTTTAAATTGATGAAGCAAATAACTAAGTTGGTAAAGTTGTTATAAGTGTTAGTAGCATTAAGTAATTAAGTAAAGATATCAGAGTACCTCCTTTCCTAGTAATTACTAATTAACTATACTTTAGATTAAATTAACCTCCGTGACAACAGTTCAAGTTTTTATCGAGAATTCACGATATTTCCTTATTTGCTATAATTTGATACCTTTTCTTCATTCTTTAATAAATATTTAATTATTTTGGCAATTAAAATTTAAATCTTAGATCACCATTTAGTCCGTGTTTATCACAGATATGCTTTGTTGAATTCCAAAAAAGAGAAATTTAAAAACAAAAAAAAAGATTTGGAATTCGTAATTCGAAATAGCAAGTTTCTATAGTTAAATTTCTTTTTTATTGCTATGAATAAAAAATCAGATTATTAGAAAAAAGAAAATGAACACAACCATGACATTAGCCATTTACCATACTTTCCTGAACATAAATTTCCCATAGATTACCAGAGGGAATTATCTCTTTACCTGTATCCATCGACTATCACCAACGCATTTAAAATTGTCATTTCTTCTTGTTTTAAATATATAATGACGTATGTATAGGAACGCATGAAGGGAATCATGGGCGTCACAGTATACTCTGTTATATCAATGGTGCTGTTCGCGTCTGTAGACGACGGTTACCACTTTCCATCAGGTGAGCCGTACACTTGTTTATCAATCTAAGTTGCACAAAAAAATGTATGGATGTCAAAATTGTTTAATCAATTGTAACTAGATTTTAGCTTGACCAGTTTTCTTATCGCTTTTTTCCATGAATAGCAATTAATAATAAAAAAAATAATTAAAAGCATATTTTCGTTGTTACATTTACCCAATTATTAAATATTTTGTTTTTTATAATACAACTAATTAGATTATTTCTTTATTATATAATAAGTAATAATAATATTTCTATATAATTTTATTTAATATATTATATACATTTCGTTTTTATTTTTCACTGCTATATATAATATTTATATACATACATATGTATGACTAGTGAGTAATATTTCTAATAATACATCATTTCTACTAAAATTAAGGTAGATCTACGACATTGTGAGTGAAATCTTTTGGTTTAAAGATTTACATTAAACTAAATAATTATAATAAAAAAATCCTCTTAATACATAAAATCCCAGTCTCAATTTTCTAACGAACAAATATTAAAAATAAACTTTACTAAGTTTACTTGAAACTTAAGATTTCTATATTGTATGGTTTCCAGATGATGGTAATCTTGTTTCACATAGCCTAGTTTGAGAAATAACAAAATTTGATCTCTGGCATTTTTAACTTATATATATCCATAAATCCAGATCTAGATGAGATTTTAAAAGACTTTTATCTTAATATAATAATATATTTATTTATGTCTCCTCACAAACAACTTAACTTTACACATAGGTATTTATGATAAAATAAAATTAAAATAATATGGAACTCTGCTGTGAGGTGCTGGTGTCTGTAATAGGTTAAGACCTGTAGTACAGATCACCAGGCCCTCAACCGATATGTGTTTAAATAAATTGAACAAAATGCATTCCACTGAAATTACACAATTCAAAAATAAAAATATTATCGACATATAAATATAAAATGTCATTTCTAAAAATATCAGTCGTACAATTTGGCTATTTAATTGCAAGTAATCATAATCGAATCAAGTACCTTTATCATATATCATCATATCAGCCTTGAATTGTCCACTGCTGAACATAAGCCACCCCCTTGGATTAATTTTTCCTGTAGTTGCCACCCTTGGCAGGCGGATTTACTGCAGTTAGGCTTTAAACACGTTTTAAGAGGATCGCTGCTGCCCATCTCTCGCCCTCCCTTAGTTGCCTCTTACGATACCAACGGGAAAGGAAGGGGTGGCCTATTTTATACCGGGACCACACCTCCATCAAGTACCTGGCAAAAGTAAAATTCCTGTCATTGTCTCGTACATTGTGTAATTGTAACTGAATAAAAGTAATGGTCATATATTTGATGGACATAACGACACTATTAGTATTTAAACTATAATGAATCCATAAACTAATATTTTTTTTAATTGCGATCATCAAGATAAAAGAGCGATAACTTATCACTACCAGACTAATTTCGATTTATTAATAAACAAATTTTTTTAAAACATAATTTACAAATATGTTGCAAAAAAAATTACATGAAAAACCTTCCTGGTATATCATTATATCACTGTTCACTGCAGAACATATGCCTCCCCCTAGGGGGGGTTTGGCAGTAATTGCCACGCTTGGTAAGCGGAATAGCAACCGCAGTAAGGCCTTTAGAGATGTTTTAAGAGGGACGCTACTGCCCATTTCTCGTCCTCCCTTAGTCGGTTCTTACGACACCCACGGGAAAGAAAAAGGTGGCCTATTCTATACCGGAACTAATACAGCCCGGTATATATATTATTATAATTAAATTTTAGTTAATAATAAGTCTTTAAAACTACAAAGATTTCTCTCACAAATGGCACAAATTGAAAGCCGCTTAGAATGCACAAATGTTAAATCAAAATAAAACACTATTGCGACTTGCGATTAGCTGTCGTGACATAAAAATGTTTGAAACTTTACGTAGAGGAAAAAAAATTAAAAAAAAAATATATTACTCACCCATTTAAAGCAGCTGCTGGCTTGACCTTAATAATTTTAAACTTTTCGTCCATAAAGTTACAATATAAAAATGTGTTACTTACTAAACTAAAATAATAAAATAAATAAATGTTAAACATAAAGTAAACATAAAAATGTCTTAATAAGTTTATATTACAGTTTACATATATAATCTGTAATTCGCATAATGAAATCAACAAAAAATAAATTGTTATAATGAATGAGATAATGTAATAATAAATATAAATATCATTATAACAATTTGATAATATTGTTATCATCAATAGAGTCGGTATAAATCCTTTTTTCTGAAATATGAAAACATTATAGTCATTTCATAATAAGATCATAAAAATGCTTGCAATTGACGTAATAGTTTAAATAATATAATTAACTATTACGTCTCCCTTCCATTGGGATAGGTCAAATCCAACTTTAAACCAAAGACCAAACTCTCCAATTTAAACGAACCTCTTTCTCATGATTATGGTCTTTATTCATGAACTTATAGTACAGTATTTATTTATTATTTACGTAAAACATTGAAATTGCTATTGTAATTTTGATTTAGAAATTAATAAAATTAAATGACGGTAACGAAAAATGCAATACACTTTCAACAATTACGGCATTACGAATTATCAAAGCAATTCAGTTGCAAATGTAACAGAATTGTACGTAATATTTTTACAAAAAGATTCTACTACGAATTGATTCAAACATTTTTACATCATACGCAGTATGATTCTAGTGTAATGAATAAATATATGACGATAGATAATTTAATAAATTATAATAACCCTAATATTAAATTAGACGTACTTTGATAACAATCGCACATGAATATAATAATAAAAAAATATTGGAAATTTATCTAAATTAAGTATAGAATATTTTTCTACTTTATGATTTCAATTCTCAAAATCGTAACTGTATTTTTAATCATTCAAAAAATTCTTGAAATGTTAAAATGAATATCACTATTGTCTTATGTTAGTTAACTTATTTTTTATATTATGATATAATAATAATATATTAAAATACTTAGCTATGCAATAAATTGTTGGACGCGTTTTATTAATTTTGTGATAAAATTCGAATATATCATGGACAAAGTCAAAGCTTGCAAGACTGATGGCATGTAAATCCTTCTAAAGGAAAATATGTGTGATAAAATGGATTTTCGAGTTCTGCTATTACTGTAAGTTTAAGGCTAAACCTAGCTTATTTATTAGATTTATATTTATTTTTTTTATTTTAATTTCATGCGAACATGGTTCTACATTGAATATCTTTTTTAATAATTACTTACGAGTCCCTGTCAAATCGACATGAAATGTCATTTTGATAGTGCAGTTTCAAATGTAATTTGATATACTAAATATCAAAATAATCTCTTTAATAATAATATAAATTAATGTATTTAATGTAATTTATTATGTAACGAATTTTAATAAAAGAAAAAAAATATAGAAGGCAATATGCATAGATTTTAGTAGGTACATGCTAAGCATGTTTCGATTAAATTTGTAGTAAATGTTCATTTCGTTATACATTCATTTTGTGAGTCTATCAATTTTAATATCAAACATATACTAAATAAGCTGCTGGCAGCTAAAAAAATAAATATATATTGTTAAGTACACCTGTTAGGAGGGTTTCAATAATATGAAGCATTGTAGCATTAGTTGAGAACTATGAAAATATTTTTTTAGCTTATTGTAAACATATTGGTTCATTTATATCATCTCTCAATACAGTACTTCATTTCAAATATGACGATATAGCTAAAAAAATCTATAGACACTAATTTTCAAGTTGTTATAACCAAAAAAAAAATAACAACATTAAAATTATAATTAAATACAATTTTTTTTTTAATCATATTGATTTTTGTCTTTCATTCATACCGTTGTATTTATAATAGAGTTTAATGAACTCTTTTTGATCCACTCACTCTCTTTTCAAATACAATTGGAACATATTTTGTACAATGTTAGTACATATATCTTTATAATATTCCATAATATTTATATTCACTTCGATTGATAACACTAAATTTAAAGTTTCTTTTCAAATGTTTAGTTATCTATTTCGGTATAAAGATTTTAAATTAAATATTATATTCTTTTATAGACATACTTTCAGTTTCATAGTGAGAAAAAATATTTGATTAAATTTATTTTCGTAATCATTTAACCTAATTTCTGATTTATATCAAATTTTAATCCGTTTATTTGAAGTGTAATAAATGTTAATGTAATTAATACTCGTACTTTTAATGATGCATGACTATAAATTAACTAAATAAAATAATATTACACAA